ACCTCTATAGCAATCCGGATTATGCGTATCTCCCTTCTTAACACTGGCACTATATTTCCAATACACCACGCTGAAGGATAATACCCAGATTCTAAGATACTGTTAAATATAAGTAATAAGCAAGGCATTAATTCATCCATACAGTAAATAAAGAGTTCATTTAAAATATTATCTGACCCACTGGACTTATTTAACTTAAGTTTTTGGACAGCTTTATGAACCCCGCTTGACGTTATAGGAATATCAAGTTCTTCGATTCTTAAAACAGTCATCAAAAGAGTTAATGTAATCATTTATTATAGGGTTACTTTTTGCCGTGAAGGATGATAGGGATGAAAGGATGAAAAATGTTCGTACATGTCTTCCATTGCTATAGGACACATTGAAGTTTTCTTCTTTTTGTTAAATAGCTTGTGGAATTTTTTTGGGGTTATGCATTCTTAATAAGTCTAACATATTGCCTTGATGACTTAAGTAATTGTTTTTTAACTTCATTTCAAACTTTTTATATCTTTGTCGGCATTCAGTTAAATTGATTCGATTAATTACTGATTTCTTCTTATTAAATGTCTTAAGAGCTGACTTGTATGTTACATAATAAGATTTACATAAGTCATTGAACCAAGGTTTATCGACAGTTTTCCGGAGTTTACTTGACCTTTTAATACTACTTACTTTGCGATTGTATGGTGAAAGTAGCTCACTTACCCTCACTGAGAAGGTATCAACTATTTGATCAACGTTTGTTTGTGAATTATTATCAATGGTTACTGACGTTAAAATTTGGTTCATTGACTCTTTCAGTACCAATTTTATATCTTCCCTCTTACTGTCATTCCATTTGGTTAAAACTATATCAGAACTCAGACATTTTGGCTTAAAAACAACATGGAAATTGATTTTAAAACATAATGGAGAGTGGTCAGAAAACTCAGTAAATGAACCAGTACTAAATTGACTCAGCAAATTGAAGTGATTACTACGTAAAATGAGATAATCAATTAGGCCAGATCCTTTAGAGCTACAAAATGTAAAGTTGCCTTCCCTGTCGCCATTTAATCTCCCATTTACAATTCTCATTCCAGTCATTATACATAATGATAAAAGCATTCTTCCATAACTATTTACAACATTATCCATATTCTTTCTACAGCATAAATTCTCTAAACTGTCAGGTTCATACATATTACAAAATTCGCCTATCAATTCTGAATTTGGATTCATCTTATCATGTTGGATAAAATCATCATTAACAAATGTCCTACTATTCAAATCGCCGACGACCATTAAAATATTATTATCACAACTGAATTCAATTATTAAATCTTGCAACTCGACAAAGGGATCGAAATCCTGATTGTCGTAAAATACACTGCCTTGTGGGGGAAAATAACAGGCTATGAGAATAATACTTGGGATTTCGAGATTATGTGACACTATCTTTACAACAACAATGCAATCATGTACATTCTTTATAATAGAACAATTATCTATAATACTATTGCTAATAAATATAACAGTTCCACCGCCTTTTCCAGTCTTTCTCGGATATATAGATGCAGTGTAACCCTCAATGCCTATGTCATCTCTCTCATCAATCCAACACTCGTATAAACATAAAACATCGTATGCACAAAGGATGTTCATGAAATCCTGGTTCTTAATCTTTTGGCACAATCCCTTACCAATATTCCAGGACAAAACACACACATCACTCCCGGCGTTTTCCTATGCTTTTTGCTGCCCCGGTGATGAACTCTCGGATTCCGAGCTGAATAATGCAGGCCTTTTCGCCGGTGGTCGTTTTGTTTCCCAAGGTCTTCTTACAGCGTTTGGCCTGTCTGTTATCAGGTTATCTGAAAATTGTTCGTTTTCACTGTACAAGATATCATTTATATATAATCTATCCCTTATAAGTCTAACTTTATGCCCCTTTTCTCTGAATTCTTTCATGATTGGATATAGAGTTCTTTGCTTGGCCTCTATAACTTGCGGATATTGTTCGTTGATACCATAGCTCTTACCTTTAAGCATGTATGATTTCCTCTTAACAGTTACAAGGTCAGCATGGTGGATAAATCTTGCCACAATCGGTCTGTGTTTCCCCATCCTTTGTTTTCCAAAACGATGCACGTTACAAAATGAAATACCATTCTCCACATTTAGTTCATTTTTAAGGAATCCCGTCAATAATTTTTCCGTATCTTCGTTGTTATCTTGAGATTAAATGAGATTATTTTTCATTGACCGACACTGAGCATCGATCAATTGAGCATCCATGTCCAATTGTTTTCTTGTAAGATCTTCTATTTTCTTCATAAGTAGAGTGTTTAGTTCGTGATCAATATCCCACTGTCTGACAATTGTATCAACTTTTGAGTGAGAGGCATCAAGTTTGTGAATAATTTCACTGTTTTTTATATCCAGCAGTTTAAATTTCTCATCGAGTTGAGTATTGTTCATTTTCACTTTCGTGAGCTCGCAATCCAACTCCTGAACTTTGACCGAAATCGATAAAACTGCTTTGTGCACTTCTTCAATTTTGTTCCGATCTAATATCAAGATTAGATATTAGTTCCATTACTTTACTGATATTTTCGTTTATATCCATTGTCCTATAAACTTCAAAAATTATCGAATTTCGTAAAATTAATTTTCACTGTGTTCCACTTCACTGAACTCCAGAGCACAAAAAACACGTCCTGTCGCTTCAAAATCACATCACGTGTGTCAGTCTTAGAGCTAAGGAAATATATATAAACCCCAAGTTGTAGGGCACAATGCATCACTTGCTAGTTTTCATCTGATAACTATATCCACAGTCCTACTTGCTTATCTCGAAATGGATTCCATCTCCAATCTCCACGTGAACTTCGATTCAGAAGAGCCTGTGAACAAGTGGTTTTGCTGAACAACAAATTACAAGATCTTCAAGTTAGATACGATCGAGCAAGACGAGATGAGCTGCGTTCTTTCCGCTACAACATCCGTTTGAGAATGTCTGCGGTCGAAGGTGTGAGAAACGCTTATTACGAATACGCTCGCCAAAAAGCTGACAAAGTTCTTTACTTTCGCCACAAGATCAGGTCGACGGTTGTCACCGATTGCGAAGACGATAGCAGCAGTTCCGAAGTGTCCATGGAGTAGAAAACACCGTGATCAATAATTTAAGAAAAACGGTTCTTTTCAGAACCCCCTAAATCTAAGAAAGAGAAAGCTTTTCAAACAAAACATACAATGCAGCGATGATGGCAAGAATAAACCAAACACACTTACTTGATTTCATGTATCGTACATGTAATTTTCTAGTCTAGACATCGGTAAAATACAGAAAACGTGATCAAAACCAACTTTACAGCCAAAATTCATCTCTATAAATTCCATTGTCAAAACGTCATTCAACTGTGGCATTATGATGTCATAAAAGCCGATACAGTAACCCCCTGGTTTTCACACACAAACACACTTCCTGTCCCATTTTCATGTCCAATTCTCTGTTTAGATGATCTCTGAGATCGGGGCTTGGAACTGCAGAGACGCGCGGTGCTGTGTCTATCTTAAACATCAATTCTTGTCATCAAAATTGTGTAGACAGAGATAGAAACCGTCTTTCTGTCCAAAAGACAATACATTACTTACAAGTGTTTGAGTAGCATTGGATCGGTTGAGAATCTATTAAATAAATTTCGCAAGTCAACGCATGCTTGCTTCTCTGCAAATTCTTCATTTAACGTCGGAGGGGCTTATGACAGTAATTCCGCCAAGGAAGTAGCCTTCCTAATCTCCACGTGAACTTGTCCGAGACCGAATTTCGATTCAGAAGAGCCTGTGAACAAGTGGTTTTGCTGAACAACAAATTACAAGATCTTCAAGTTAGATACGATCGAGCAAGACGAGATGAGCTGCGTTCTTTCCGCTACAACATCCGTTTGAGAATGTCTGTTGTCGAAGGTGTGAGAAACGGTTATTACGAATACGCTCGCCAAAAAGCTGACAAAGTTCTTTACTTTCGCCACAAGATCAGGTCGACGGTTGTCACTGATTGGGAAGACGATAGCAGCAGTTCCGAAGAGTCCATGGAGTAGAAAACACCGTGATCAATAATTTAAGAAAAACGGTTTTTTTCAGATCCCCCTAAATCTAAGAAAGAGAAAGCTTTTCAAACAAAACATACAATGCAGCGATAAAATACAGAAAACGCATTCAAAACTCACATTGCAGCCAAAATTCATCTCTAAAAATTCCTGTCAGCAAGTCATTCAATTATGTAGCATTATAACCGAACTTATAGCCGGTCTGATTTAAATAAAGATAGTGGACCACAGCCATATACGCCCATCGCCGCATGCGGCTGGTAAATATTAAAGATTTTGGGGCAAGGGCAATAACTCTGCTTCTTACGGTCGAAAATAGCTCAAATTCGAACTTGATCTTTGTTTTATGAATATGTCTACACATACCGAATTTCATTTGATTCCATCAAAAAATCTAGTTTTTAGAGCGTTTACAAGCAAATGTTGACGGACGGACCGACGAACCGACGGACCTTCGTTTCATGAATATGTATGCACATACCGAATTTCATTTGATTCCTTCAAACACTCTAGTTTTTAGAGTGTTTACGAGCAATTGATGTTGATCGAAGCACTTACTGTATAGAGGTTAAAGGGCGATAACCCCTCAAAACTGACGTAAGAGGCCTAAATCTTGAAAAAGCCTTAAATTTAATTAGAAGTAAACAAAACTTTCTCAAACCTTTCGATTTAGGTCCAATAACATCCATTTTAAGTTTCATCAAGATCGGTTGAAAACTAAGAGAGTAATAGCATATTCAAGATTTTGGGACAAGGGCAATAACTCTGCTTCTAACGGTCGAAAATAGCTCAAATTCGAGCTTGATCTTCGTTTTATGAATATGTAAACACATACCGAATTTCATTTGATTCCATCAAAAACTCTAGTTTTTAGAGCGTTTACAAGCAAATGTTGACGAACGGACGGACCGACAGGGGTGCCGACAATATACGACCACATAGAGAGATGTGGGCGTATAAAAAGGTTAAATAACCTGAGATTAATGACGTCATTATACACTTAGCTTAAGTGGAATTGCAGGTACAAATGCAGACATTTGATTGAAGATGTTAATGGTATATATGTAATTCGATGCTATTAATGTTCTCGATACACGTAGAAATATTATAAAACCTCTTTACAATGCCTTTAATTTTCTCTTCAAAATCAGACATTTCATAGGCTTAAGGGAAAGGGAATTTTTGATCATCAGTTAGTTGCAATAGCAATTCGAAAAATTACGTTGCTTTTAATTCATGTAAGTTAAAGTAAGCTGGTATTGAAACGGCTCCAAACATTTAATTATTACCAAACCTTAATGAATGAATTGAAATGAAACGAGTGTTTACGTCCTACGTTTCTGCTCCAGTTTGGGCTTGAGACTAGAAACCAGCGTGAAATGACAGAAACGACAGAAATTATGCTTAGATAGCTTCATTAGCCTACTCTTTTAGGTTTTTGCGGGACAATAATTAATGGAAAAACTATTATTTTAGCGAATATATACCATCGAATACTCTCTTTAAAGTAATAGGAGTTTAAAATAAACAGGAAATTTGTACAATGATGATACAGGAACCAATACGCATTTCCTATTGCTATAACTATGTTAAGTTGTTGGTATATCGCTACCGATCAGACGGTTGTAATATAGACATCTGAAATGGCGGATCTAAAAGTTTTTGTAATAGTGTTAATAATTTTAGTAGTTCCAGCCATACTTCAAAGTAATTTTTTTTATATTTTAATTTTTGAAACGTATATTTTCTGGAATGCACTAAAGAAGTTTTCTTCTTGGGTAGACGGAGTTGCTATTTTGCGTTGCACGTCAAAGTATGCAAAAATTTCTGTTATTTACTTTTTGTTATCAACATTTCAGAGTGTGACGAAAGAAAAGATGTTGTTTTTCTAGTGGACTCGTCCGGCAGTGTGAAATCACGAAATTTTGAAAAAGTTAGAAGTTTTTTAGTTTATTTTGTGCAGAAATTGGATATTGGTGAATCTAAGATTCGCTTGAGTGTGGTTAGATTTAGTAGTGTTTTAACCAAGATTCTGTGGTTAGACGAATCTTTTGATAAAACTGAAATAACAAATACCATTAAAGCCATGCGATATAATGGTGGTGGTACGAAGACTGGTGAGGCTTTAGGCTTTGCCAATCAAAACGTTTTGAACGCAGCAAATGGTGACAGGGAAGAGGTTCCAGATTTGGTATTCGTGATAACTGATGGTAAATCTAAAGTCCCACATCAAACACAAAGTGAAGCTAAGTTATTACATGATAAAGGCGTGGATGTGGTAGCTATTGGTGTTGGTAAGGGAGTTGAGGATACTGAACTGTTGAATATAGCATCAGATAAAGATTTTGCATTGAAAATTGATAATTTTGATCAGTTGAAGAACGAAACTTTACATAAAAGGATATTCACAGCAGCATGTACAGGTATGTTTTAAAATCAAATTGTAAGACAAGGTCATATACCCTAACGGCCAACTTTACTTAAATGTGATGAAATATAGACAATTATTTTCCCTGCGTCCTCCATAGTTTTCTTGAAGAGTTGTAACTTCACAATTTTAGTTCGCGTTTAAACAAATAGATTCGCCATTTTTATGACCAATCATACCTCAGAAACGGGAAACTTTTGGTCAAGCTTATTAGTAATAGTCTTTTCTTGGAAAATAGAAAGTGAATTTCCTAGAGGTATTTGTTTTTATTGGTAGGTTTTTATTAGCACAATCAGGGACAGAAAATTAGGGGGCAAAACTTACACAACGCTATCTAAGTTTTAAGTTTACGGAAACTGGTTTGTTTTGATAAACTTGTGGGTAATTTGGGAAAAGTCTTCAAAAATTGAAGTTTTCTGGATGACTTCCCCGTTTACTTAATATTCTTGAAATACGAAGACGGAAATTTACCTCGCATTAATTAGCGAAAAATAGCAATATTAGACCCGTTCACAATCACCTTAATTTTTAATCATACAATTCTTAATGCATTAGTGCTTGTGATTTTTGGTCCCATTACTGTAAATGTATTTTACATTTGAAGGGTTGAAGCCTACAACACCTATTATTACTACTACTGAACTCAAACAAGAGGTATCACAAGCAATACCATCCATAGAATCTTCCACTGGGAACAATGAGGAATTGACTTCAACAAATTCAATACCAACAGAGCAATCTTTTAAACCACCAGACGATACGACAACAATGACCATAACACAAAGTACATATGAGGAATTGACTTCAACAACTACAATACCACCAGAACAAACTTTCAAATCATCAGACGATACGACAACAATGACCATAACACAAAGTATATATGAGGAAGTGACTTCAACAACTTCAATACCAACAGAACAAACTTTTAAATCATCAGACGATACAACAATGACCATAACACAGAGTACATTACCAGTAGAAAATATGACTTCCTTCGACTCAACATTTATTGGTCGCGAACAAGTTACTAGTACTGAAGAAATAATCATAGATGACTCTACGAGTTTCGAAACGAATCAGACGAGTCAAACTATACCCAGTGACACTGTGACCGACAGCAATTTCGACTCGAGAGTAAGGACCGTGGATACAACAGCTTCCAATTATCCCGACAACTCCATTGACACATCTGATAAATCATCTGACTTTTCGGTTTCCAATGATGCACTGAGTTTGTTCAAAGATTGGAAGACCGTTGCTGGTTTGACGGCATTTTCTGGTTTAGTGCTTTTGGCAAGTATGGGTGGAATATTTTGGGCTGTCAGAAGAAAGATGAACTCGAATAGTCAAGAAATTAAACAGTATGATTAAACTTTATAACATATGATGGTAAATCTTGTGCTATACAGGAATAAGGCAAAAGCTAAGTGCTCGATGAGGACAATCTTGTTGAGACAGAAAAACGTCGAAACCTTTTTTTCAAATTAGCACAAGAATGCTCAACTTATTTGCATGCAAATTCCACTCTCCTGCAACTGGTAACACCTGCAATGATGCCATGCTCTTTTTCTATAAAAGGGAAAGATAGCTTGCTAGGCAAGGTAATATACGCCCACTGGCAGCTTTGATTATAAATAAAAATATTTAGCAGCATAGTAAAATCACCGGTATAAAATACTCAACCTTCAGTCATACACTTCTTTTGAACTCTTTAGGGCGATACTGAGTACGAGTTATTTCCCTTGTTCTTGAAAACGTGTTCAATTTTTAACTCATGAAAACTCAAGAAGGCAAATATTCAATCTTCAGACTGAATAATAAAACCAAGTTTTGTCAAAATCCAGCAAGAATCATGCCTTTTAGTGTTTAAGAGCTAAATTTGAAAGCGTTTTCAAGAACAAGGGCAATAACTCATACTAAATATTTTTCAATTCTTCTGATTTTCAATAGGGTTTTTTCCATGGGTGATAACGAACATTTACACCAAGTTTCATCAAAATCAGTCAAGAATTGTGCCTTCTAGAATGATTACGAGCTAAAAATTGAACGTGTTTTCAAGAACAAGGGCAATAACATACTAAATATTTTTCGATTCTTCTGATTTTCAATAGGGTTCATCCTTGGGTGATTACGAACACTCATACCAAGTTTTGTCAAAATCCGTCAAGAATTGTGTCTTGTTTACGAGCAATTGTGGACGGACTGACATGGGTGACGGCAATATACGCCCCCCATTTCATGTGGGCGTATAAAAAAGGATAATATAAAAATGTCTTTGAATACAATTTTCTATTAGCACTACATAATTTGAATGTTACATACAATATTTCTGTTTTTACACAGAATGGTCATGAGATACAATATTGAATTTGATTTTTTTTAGGCAAACATTTAAAACTCAAGTCAAGGTTTCTGTATTTGTATTTTGTAATTATGATATCTTACTATTTAACTAATCTAAAAGTATCAGTATAAAATTAGACCAAACTTTTCTGTTTTTAATAGCTTTTATTTTTAATATAGCCACTTCAGTTAAGGTCCGAAGACGGGCTTTTATGAACATTCGTCAAAATTACCTTGTAACCTAATCTGATGACATCTGCTTTAATCGCTCACAAAGTGCCAGCGTTAGAGATGGCAGGAATTAGATTGGTTAGGCAAGATTAGGTCAAAAGGTCAATTTTGATAAATAAGTAACGGAATGAAAGTTTGGTCTAATTTTATGTAGACTGATGACCTTAACATTTTTGATGAAGACCCAGAACTATCAAGCTTGTGTTTAGGTTTCGAATCTTGTATGGATTTTCAAAAACATCTTTACCTGACTATGTTATTAAAGGGGTAGGTGTGCCATTTGGGGGTTGATTTGAGTCTTCAGAAATACTAGAAATGTACGAAAATCGCATAATTCCTTTAAAAACATATCAAGTAGGAATTTTACTCACTACTTCTATATATGTCTTTTCTATATATCACAGAGTATCTTAAAATGATATTCCTCATTTTAACATTCAATTGCAGATAATTCTGGACACACATGGATTTGAAGGCTCAAATTTTCACGGTAAGCTGTGAACACTATCACTGATATCAAAAATTCCCGTCTTTGAGACTAAAGTATGATTGGTCAAAAACAACGGCGCACCTGTCCCTTTAAGAACTGTTGTAATGAAACCATGCAAGACAAATTCATCTTTCAAATTTTCTTTCCTTATTTTTTTTGACAATTGAAAAGTTTTATCTGTGAACGAAGGCCATGTGAAAGGATAGCTCACCATAAGAACATTGCTTACTGCAGGCACTATAACATAAACAACAGATCAGTACTTAAATTCATAATACACCATTTTAATGAGTTATATTTCTGAAAACTCCCTTTTTCTATTTATCACTTACTGTTTGATTATATTTGTAGGTAAATTGATTTTTCCTGATTGTACACATATCATAGTCTTCGAATGAGTTAACAGAAAAATTTAGTTAAGCAATAATTTTATTTTTTTCCAAATAGTTCTTTCTGTACTCAATCTCAAATTACTGACTTTGTTAAAGGGACAGATGCGCCCATGAATGTAATTAGTCTTCGGAAGTACTATAAATGTAGGAAAATCGTATAATTCCTTTAAAAATATCCTAAACTTGGAATTTCTTTTCTTATTTCTATAGATGTCTTTTCTATATATTTTCGCAAGAAACTTTTTAACGCTGATAATTCTAGACACACATGGATTTGAAGGCTCAATTTTGACGGCGAGAGCTGTAAACAATAATGCTGATTGGCTAATCTAAAAAAAAAAGTTTTTGTTGTTCAAAACAATTGCGTATCTGTCCCTTTAAATATTACAAATAAAATATTATGTGTGATGTCTATGTTGTTCCAAAGCCGAAGTCATTTTGTGATTATCATTGGTAATAAAAATAATAATCAATAAAGATGTACCTACTGAAGTTATTACAACATAAGAGAATTGTCATCAAACATCACAATATAACATCATTGTTTCTTACACTAATCAACATATATAACAATCACTCTATGTTAAACACACTTCTCATAAACAGTTTATATTGTCGTGATGGCTTTGTGTTATCAATCCATTTTTCTTTTATCGTTTTTTGTGAGACAACTTATCAGCCGAAGCATCAAAGGAATCCTCATTCAAATTCAACATTAGAGAACCAGCATTCAAATACACACGATTCTGGGATTGGGCAATCTGAAAAAAATCAAAGACATGATTTAGTAATGAATACAGTGGATTTCTACTAAGGTCATTTTACATCAGTTGGACTTAACAAGTGCCATGACTAAAGAATAGAATCTCTATAAAAGACAGTATATCCATTAATTATTGAAACACACTTCTAAGTATGTTTCAAATAATGTTTTATGAATTATTTCTTAGTTTAATGAATTTTTACTTACTTTAATGAATTATTACTTAGTTTAATGAATTATTACTTAGTTTTATGAATTATTACTTAGTTTTATGAATTATTACTTAGTTTTATGAATTATTACTTAGTTTTATGTATTATTACTTAGTTTTATGAATTATTACTTAGTTTTATGAATTTTTACTTAGTTTTATGAATTATGACTTAGTTTAATGAATTATTACTTAGTTTTATGAATTATGACTTAGTTTAATGGTTTTATTGAAATATAAAGGGATTCAGTAATATAGATAAGACACCAGGTAAGTCTACTCATTGTAGCCAAGTTTAAAAATTTCAATATTTTAGACATCCTAAGTTTTATCATTGTGTAAATACAACTGGTTAGCAAGGCTTGAAATAAGCTTCCGGACACGGACATCTTCCGCTACAATTTCGGCAAATGTCCAGTACAATCTCGTTTGAGTCGGACATTTCTGTCCAGCACCAAATCTATGAAAAAAAATATTGTTTTTCTTGTTGAAAAGATCATGAATTATCAGCGAATATGGCTGTTGATACTGCTAACATTAGTCAAAGTTGTGTGTTCTTGAAAAATGTTCTTTTTCACATTACCGATTGACATTCCTTGCCTCAAAAATCAAAAATGTTCGCAGCAACAATAACATCGTCTAGATCATCCAGATTACTAGCACCTAGAGAAGAAATGCAAGGTCTGGATGATCACGTCAAAACACAAATGAACGGTGTTGACACAAGTCCAAGTTGTTAACCTGTATTATTTGCAGGTGAGAAATCAGCAAATGCCAGTCCTAAATTGATGGGTTTAAAATGAATTTTTTCAATTGAAAATATCATATTTTTGCTATGCCCGGTACAAAATTTCAAATGTCCAACTCAATTTCTGTAGTTATTTTAAGCCTTGCTACTTAGAAACAATAAGTTATTATTCCACATTGTAATATTCCAGGGTACTTGTCATAGAATGCAAATAAAATACTTCAGATATAGATGGCATTTGATTAAAGCCTTTGAAAAGTTTAAATTGATTTGGAATCTTACTGAAGTTTTTTGAGGTCAATAAACACAATAGGGTATTAATTCTATATATACTTACTGTTCTAGCTACATTTTGTGCTGCAGTGATTTTTCTTAGTTTGAGGTAACCAGGGTTTGTACTCAAAGCTTGACCAATGTATCAAATATGTTAAGGAAATCAATTTCTGTAGTTCCAATATGGGGGACAAAAACGGGTTTCAAATTTAAAAATTCCTAAATGATCAAGTATATAACAGCACAAATTTTACAGCCACATAAGCCTGGCCCACTATTTTTTGATCTCCAACTTTCAACACACAACCATTTTGAATCATTTCTTTGATTTTTAAGAAGGCTTTCATCCAAACCTTCAAATCACATTTAATGTCATTTCATTTGAAGGCTTTGATAGCCTATTTGAAAATTTGACTTATAAATTCGAGGAAGAGATTCAAAACGGACGTGAACCAATGACTGAGGCTTCAACTAGGCTGCCTATGTGCTATTAGACCTCAATATTTAGCATCAACAGCAATTTCTATATTAGGTTGTTAGCTTGCCATCAGATTACTAAAATTATTTTCATGAATAAATGTAAAGTAAATGATCAACCTGTAAGCCCCACCCCCCTGAAAAATGTTTACTCTCCTCAGTACCGAATATTCTGAATCTATTAAAATATTCAGTGTTTTGAATGAGAGTATTTAATCTATGTTCGCCCTTACAGCAAATTAACAAACTAAGTTAATCTACCAAGATTACAAACAATATCTTAACTTTGGTTTAACTTTAATCTTTACATTTATTTCAATAACGCACAATATCATCATTTGGCAAGCAGAAATAACCTATATTTACCAGAACTAATGTGCTAATATCATGAACAGTACTTTATCTTTTTTACTATTCACTTCACAATTTCTCAAACTTTACTTTCAGTTATCCTTGGCACTGTTCAAAATGAAAATCAGACATTAAATTTTCTAATCAATTAAAGCTACACCTTAACCATAGAAACTACATATGGTTCTTGTATTGAATTAACAAACACAAATGTAGTTCACAGCCATTTTGAATATTTCCCTACACTCAATAAGTCAAAATTTACAAATAAGTTATAATACTTCAATCAATCAAATCACATTTTAAAAGGGACATTCTGCTTTTTTGTACAGAGTTTTCATTATTAAAAACATCATGAATTATAACTGAAAATATTTCATTTTACTATTTATATCTATGTATCTTCTTGATCAAATTAAATTGGTTTTAAAAGGGTTAATTAAAAACGGAGAGTACTAATTGTTATTTAAGCAGTTTGACCTAGTTTTGGTTTTTAGCTTTATAATGGCTCGATATTACTAGTTGAATCCTTTTGAATACATAGGAGATATATTTTTGTACAATTTTTGCTTTATAACTGTACAGTAGTTTTCTAACAGCTTCCAAAAAATATAACAAACTTAAAAAGTTTACAAATATAAAAATTTCAGATACATTTTGGTGTATAATTTTTCGCAAATTTGAAATAAGAAAATTTCAAGTTACAAAAAAAGCGAAATGTACCTTTAGGGTTTAGAATGGCTTTAAATGTGATTTGAAGGCTTTGTTGAAATATAATAGTCTTTTTTTAAAATTTGACTTATTAAGTTGAGGAAGAGATTCAAAATGGTTGTGAACTACACCGTGTGTTATTTCAATACAAGAACTTTATCTGTAGTTTTTTATACACCTCAATTCATTTTCAATTATGTAAAATCAAATTTGAAGTGAAGGGTAATTGAGAGAGATTCAAATATTTCTACAGATATGGCCGAAAAAAAATTTAATGTCATTTTTAAAAGGATATCAGTCTAACAGCTTCTGCCTCTCCCTCAGCCTGAACAACTTTCTGCTGTCTTTCTTGTTTGGCCTTTTCTACAAAAAACTGGGCTTTCTGAGCCTCTTGTTGAGCTACCTACAAATAACACAAACATTGTTTAATAATCTAAATAAGATTTAACTGTACAGAGATTAAATTCAATCAAAATACATCGAAAACTAACCAATATCAAATTATCGCATGAATCCACAGAAAAGAAATCAGTTGAAATGTTGACCGCTTTCATTTTAATTAGGTAGAAGAATACCATCAAATAATCTGAAATATTGACTATTACTCCCTTCAATGAACCAGTTACGCAAAATGGCGTTTATTTTTCCATAAACTGTAGTTTGTCACATCAAAGCCGTTGTCGAAGCACAACAACAACGCAATCTAAGATCAATTCAAAGAGCAGATCAAATAAAAAAGTTAACAAGTGGTTGCCTAGCAAGATATGCCAAGTTTCCTGATATATTTTCAGTATATTAAGGGCAGTCACCTATCTGTGTAAATCATACCAAAAATCTAATTTGTGCAAGATATTGTTGATTTAAACAAACAAACATTATTTAAAGATAGTGGACCACAGCCATATATGCCCACCACGGCATGCGGATGGTAAATATTAAATATTTTAGGGCAAGGGCAATAACTCTGCTTCTAACTTGATCTTCGTTTTATGAGTATGTATACACATACCGAATTTCATTTGATTCCATAAAAAAATCTAGTTTTTAGAGCGTTTACGAGCAATTGATGTTGATAGAAGCACTTACTGTATAGAGGTTAAAGGGCGATAACTCCTCAAGACGCCTAAATCTTGAAACATAGGCTTGCGGCAAGTCTCGCAAGCGAATACACCCACCAGCAGCTTGATAAAGAGCTAATTGAAAAACTGTAAAACAAACTCTATATCATAGTTTGATGCAATATCACATTAATAGCTTGTACTTTCATATCTCTCTATTAAAACTACCTGGTTCTACATTAGGAGGCAGACAGCAAGTTTGCTTTCTAGAAGTTCAAACCAACTTTAGCATTGTTAAATTTAACATAAATTTTACTTGGTTTCTTGTGTTGATCCTTTTTAATAAAAGTCACAGTAAAATTGTCGGATCATCACCAAATTCAATAGTGCACATCTTCATAATGATATTGACACACATACAAAAGATCAAAAGAATCTATAGAGAATTGTAGCCTGTAGAGTGAGCATGAGGTAAATGTGAACGGACGGACCGACGGACGGACCGACAGACGGACCGACAGACAGGGGCAACCACAATATACGCCCATACTTACGTGTTGGCGTAAAAAAAAGCCTTAAATTTAATCAGAAGTAAACTTAAGTTTCTCAAACCTTTCGATTTAGTTCCAATAACATCCATTTTAAGTTTCATCAAAATTGGTTGAAAATTAAGAGAGTAATAGCATATTCAAGATTTTGAGGCAAGGACAATAACTCTGCTTCTAACAGTCGAAAATAGCTCAAATTCGAACTTGATCTTCGTTTTATGAATATGTATACACACACCGAATTTAGAGCGTTTACAAGCAAATGTTGACGGGCGGACAGGGGTGCCGACAATATACGTCCACATAGAGAAATGTGGGCGTATAATAAAATTCTGTCATAAACTGTCACCTCTATCACCAACAAATTTTGATGAGTTTTTACTAAGTCAAGGGCAATAACTCAAACTTCGTTGATCGAAATATTGTCAAATTTAATCTTGACTAAGATCTCATCATTATAAATGATCATACCAAATTTTATTTAAATCGGATGAAAACTGTACTCACTATTGTTTTCACAAACAAATTTTGACGTGTTTTTCATAAATCAAGGGCAATAACTCAAAAACCGTTCATCGAAATATAGCCAACTTTAGTCTTGACCAAGATCTCATCATTATAAATATTCGCACCAAATTTCATTTAAATTGGATGAAAACTGTTGTCTCTATTGTGTTCACAACCAAATTTTGACGTGTTTTTCATAAGTCAAGGGCAATAACTCAAAAACCGTTTATCGAAAGATAGTAAAATTCGAACTTGTCCAAGATCTCGTGAATATAAATGATCACACCAAATTTCATTAAAATGAGATAAAAACTGTTGTCTCTATTGGGTATAGTCGAACCGACAGGCAGACAGGGGCGTTGACAATATACAACCACATCATTATGTGGGTGTATAAAAAATTGTGTTAGTAAAAGTAGAAAAGTTTAAAAATAGATATAAGAACTAGAGCCACTCGTGGCATAGAGTGGGACTTTGCAAATTGCAAAAGACCCCGAAAAAAATCATCCTTCCACGATAATTAGATCAAGCGCAAGAACAGTCTAAAGTTGAGAAATTTTCATTTTTTAGAAGATTCTAATACCGGAAGTAGACGTCAGACCTCACAAATGAAAGTATCAGCAGATAGCCAAGGTCAATGATCTCGTAAAAGAGAAAGTCTAAAAAGGTCAAAATCAAGAGATATACGTCATCAAAATTTCTAATTGCACACGACTATAAAACCGGAAGTTGACATAGGACAGCAAATATGAAAGTACAAATAGATAGCCAATGCCAATGACGTTAGATCCTACAAAGGTCAAGGTCAACAAAGGTCAAGGTCAAAAATTGAAAATTTTCAATTTCCAAAACCTATTCCTTTTTTTGAACTAAGAAGCGGAAACAACCGAAATTCTAAGACAAAGTGGCTCAATTCATGAGATAATTGTATGCAAAGTTCCATTTTGAACAAATGTATACTTTGCGAGTTATGCCCCTGGCCAAAAATGTCAATAAAAAGTAATTAAACCCGGAAGTGCCACGCCCAACTCAATTTTTTTTTGAATAAGTTAATCAATATTCAAAATGTTACGTTATGTTCCAAATGTCAAGTTCCTACATAATAGAGGTCAAAAGATATAGGTCAACAAAAGTCAACAAAGGTCAAAATCGAAAAATGAAAATATCCAAATGTTAAAACCCGTTCCTTTTTTGAAACTATAAAGCTGAAACAACTGAGCTGTTAATACATACTGGCCAAAAGGATGAGGTAATTGTGTGCAAAGTCTCTTTTTGAACAAACGCATCCTATGCGAGTTATGCCCCAGCCCGAAAATGTAAACAATTTGTAATTCAACCCGGATGTGCCACGCCCACATAAGTTTTTTGGTCATAGGTGAATTCATATTCAAAGTGTCTAGTTATATTCCAAATATCAAGGTTCTACATCAAATAGATCATAAAATATACATACACTAAGCTCAAAAAGTCGCAAATATTGTAAAAAAAAAACCTCAAATTTGAAAAAATCACGAATTTCAATTTTGCTTTAAAAAAACGATTGTTATATATCTATGTAAAGTACACGAGAAGCACATTAGGAAACCAAAAAAATTTACTCTCTAGGTTAATTAGGTCACGTGCTAGAGCAGTCCAAAGTTGCGAATTTGGATGTTTTTGGACAGCTATAAAAGCGAAAGTAGACGTCAGAGGTCAAATATGAGAGCATAAACTAATAGACAACGTCAATGACCTTTGACCCAATAAAGGTCAAGGTCATCAAAGGTCAAGGTCAAAAATTGAAAATTTTGAATTTCCAAAACCTGTTCCTTTTTTTGAACTAAGAAGCGGAAACAACCGAACTTCTAAGACAAAGTGGCTCAATTCATGAGATAATTGTATGCAAAGTTCCATTTTGAACAAACGTATACTTTGCGAGTTATGCTCCTGGCCAAAAATATCAATAATGAGTAATATTACCTGGATGTGCCACGCCCACCTTAATTTTTTTTGCATAGGGTAATTGATATTCCAAATGTTATGTTGTGTTTCAAATTTCAAGCTTCTACATTATTCAAGTCAAAAGATATAGGTCAGCAAATGTCAAAATCGAAAAATGAAAATGTCCAAATGTTAAAACCCGTTCCTTTTTTGGAACTATAAAGCTGAAACAACTGAGCTGTTAACACAAACTGGCCAAAAGGATGAGGTAATTGTGTGCAAAGTCCCTTTTATAACAAACGTATCCTATGCGAGTTATGCCCCAGCCCCAAAATGTAAACAATTAGTAATTCAAACCGGATGTGCCACGCCCACCCCAATTTTTTTGCCATAGGTGAATTCATATTCAAAGTGTCTAGTTGTATTCCAAATATCAAGGTTCTCCATAAAATAGGTCATAAGATATACATACACCAAGATCAAAAAGACACAAATATGGTAAAACAAAACTCAAATTTGAAAAAATCACGAATTTCAATTTTGCTTTAAAAAAGCAATTGTTCTATATCTATGTAAAGTGCATGAGAAGAACATTACGAAACCGAAAAAATTAACCCTCTAGGTTAATTAGGTCACGTGTTAGAGCAGTCCAAAGTTGCGAATTTGGCTTTTTACGGATAGCTATAAAACCTGAAGTACATGTCTGGGGTCAAAGGTCAAAGTATCAAATGATAGCCAAGGTCAATGACCTTTGACCCTATAAAGGTCAAGGTCATCAAAGGTCAAGGTCACGAGATACAAGCCTTCAAAAATTGAAAAAATTCGACCGGAAGTTGCAAAAAAAGCAAAAGTCAAATTCAAAAATCCATTTCCAACATTTTTGTCGCTATCGACTAAAGTATACACCAACATAAAAATTTGACCAATCCCATTCTCCCCCGAAGCCCCATTTTGAGTTTTATGAGAAAGTATCAAATCAAGATGGCGGCCGAAGTATTTTTTTCGGACTAAATTTTATTTTAAAATCGGCCATAGAATTAAGATTAATAACGATATACATAATTTCGTTGAAATATTTCAATCACACCGGAAGTTATTCAACCGGAAGTGAAAATCGATTTTGCACTTTAACCGGAAGTGACGCAAAAATTTTGAATACGTCAAATGGTTTACATTAGTGACATGCATCTTTTATCAAAATTTCAGATTAATCCGAAAAAAACTGAAAAATGGTCCAAAAAATTCGAAAATCGGCCAAAAAATGTCTGCGACAAATTTTCGAATTTTGAAACTGCTATTCTTTTAGATTTTAACAGTAGATTCCAAAAATGCAAACCCAAAGAAAATCGACCGAAAAATACGACTTCTAGAGCCGATTATCTATTCTTGCACATATTGAACTGTGGCACTTCCGGTTTTGCAAAAAAGATCCAAAATATATTTATGCACATCGTCGCCTATATCTAAGGTTCGTGAACGTTGAAAGGTTGCTGCAACTATTGTAGTCTAAGCTCAGGAAGGTGTGTAAAAATCGAGAAAAAAAAAAAAAAAAAAAAAAAAAAAAAAAGAATTGACATTTCGATAACAAACTCGATCACAATTAAAAGTTTGTCTCACTAGTATTATCGCACTTGATCACGTGACAAACATACATACGTTTGTCAAGTGATCAAATGCGTTTACTAAACAATAATGTTAGTGAGACCCACGTTTAATTCTTAAATAGCTGTATGCAATATTGTCAATATCATGTCAGGACTTCCTTGATAATCATGTTCTCTGATTGTTAGGGAAGTTAAGATTTCAATTCTGACCAGAGAAACAGATAACAAGAGGATAAATTGAGCTCTACCAGTTTCAGTTTCTCTCAAAGTTTACTAAAAATCATCTCACCTGTTTGGCTTCAACGGCTGCTGTATATTCTCTCCCAAAACTTAATTCCGTAATAGACACATCATCTAATATCAGGTTAAAATCTTTAGCTCTCTGTAATAATTCTCTCCTCACTAATAAACTAACTTGTTGACGTTGTGTTATTAATTGAGAGGCATTAAACTTAGCTACTACACTTTTTAATACCTACAAATAAAACATATTAGAGATTCTTTTTTTTTTATCAAACTATTTCCTTGTTCTAAGTCTATGTCAATTATCATTTTATAGTGGAATACTGTTTAAAATAGTTGCCGATAATCTAGAAACCCCAATATCCACAAGCTTTTCACTGGGAATGGAATACTCGTCATACGATTTTCCTGTTTCTGGCAGCTGTGATTGGCAACCAATCATCATATTCTATTCACCATACAGTCACGTGTCACTGTGAGGTCTCGTCTTGCGGATTAGCTGTGAACAACACAACTCTAGTTGTTGCCTGTTTCAACTTTCTATTAATTTATTAAAATGCATGAAATCTTTGGGAATAGAAATGTGCATATAAATGGGGTTCCACTATCTATACAAGTTACAGAAGTTACCTCATTACAAATAGAAGGAAGAACTCGTTCATCATAATCTTGACCAAGTTGTTTATAGATAGTGGGTAAATTTCTTGATTCTGGTCTAGACAACACTCTCAGAGAGATATTGACCATTTGTAAATCTACAACAAAATTTTATAATATACAAATATTTTAATACTTAAAACCTAAAATATCATACAATATTTACCAAGCAGTTGAATCTTCTAATTTTTAAATGCAAGTTGATCATGAAAATCACGAAATGTAGTGATTAATTTTGTCATGTTCATAGCATAAACAATTTTTAAAAATCTCAAATTTTGTTTTTGAGACACAAAAAAATAAATATTATGTTTTCATGAATAACGGCAAAGCGAGCCATTGTAAACACAATATATAATATTAAGACATTACATGTTATAGGGTTAAAGTTATTATTACAGATACACACTTCTCATTGGGTAAGTCGGCTCGGCCCAGTTGCGCGTTTACACTGCACTGATATTAAGCCCTGCCACACTCGGTCCGGACCGCGACCACCTGTTCTTGCAGGACTCGGCCCACTTGAAACTAGCACGGTGACAAGCCCTCTTAACATGTTTACCCTGCAACCTTTTTCTGCAGAACTGACTCGATCAAGACTCGGCCCAGATAATTTGTGTCTGTCTAAACATGACTTATGAGCGTTAGGTAAAAATGATGTAATGTATTGGTACAATTCTCCTGGGAAAAGTTACTATATCTATTAACAAACTTTCAGAACAAATGACATGGATTAGGCAAATCTTCGTAAAAAAAAATTATTTCTGAATTCGAAATTTTTTTCATGATTCTGTACTGCCCATAGTTTGGTATCTAATTGAATCTATATTTTAATGAAACTTTTAGGTATCATCTTATGTTACTAGCCATAAAAATTTGATTAATTGTTCTCATGTTAGATATTACTTTAACTTTTTCTTTTCTTACAAAAATTTGACTTATTTATCATAAGTGGATCATATCAGTGGATGACCATATTAAAATGTTACCAAATCCCACCTTTCAGAATCTTTACAGTCCTTAGTGTTTAAAAGTTACACTTGCTTTTGACCGTATTTGTAATTAGTCATAAAAAAGCCTTTATAGACAAAATTACATGTTAGTTGTTATCAATGTACTCTAGTTCCTTACTTACCTTTACTACCAGTAGGGGAGGTAATTCTTCTGGGTTTAGCTCGGATGTCATATATAATTGGATATTCAAACCATGGAATTCTAAACAAATTTAAATAAATCAATGTTCTAGATAATCATAACAAAAAGAATATAGTAGGCATGGCATATGATAGCCATACAACTTAAAGGGTAGTATACCAAAAAATTGTGTTCCGTTATTTAATGTGATCTCTAAATGTTGATAGCCATAGGATTAACATCCCTACAAACAAACTTTTTCACCTCTTTAGGAAATGACATAAATTACTCCAAATAAATTATATTCATGCACTCAAAACTAAACTAACTTATCAAGGTTCAGTCTTATATCAAGTTTTACCTATTACATTATTGTGAATTGGCATATCAGTTTTAAAATAGTGCTACTCATAATCTGAGAAGAACGTTTTACAAGATTGCATTTATTATAACCACCACATGTACCAAATCATAGTTAAAGATAGCTTGCCAGGCAAGGTAATATACGCCCACTGGCAGCTTTGATTTTGAAAAAAATATTTAGCAGTACAGTAACAATCACCAGTATGAAATATTCAACTTTCAGTCATACACTTCTTTTGAACTCTTTAGGGCGATACTGAATAATATTGACAATGAGTTATTGCCCTTGTTCTTGAAAACGTGTTCAATCTTTAGTTTGTGAAAACTCTAGAAGACAAATATTCAATCTTCAGTGCGGTACTTAATAATAAAACCAAGTTTTGTCAAAATCTGGCAAAGATCTTGCCTTCTAGAGTTTTTACGAGGTACAAATTGAACGAGTTTTCAAGAACAAGGGCAATAACTCATACTAAATAATTTTCGATTTTCTTATTTTCAATAGGCTTTATCCTTGGGTGATAACAAACACACAAGCCAAGTTTCGTTTAAAATCCAGGGGTGTCATTAAGGTCCAGCAGCCGGCGAAAAACCACTCCTATTTGATTCCAGTTACTTTCAGAACGGTCAGAAAATAATCGGTTTCAAATTAGGACCATCGCTGGGGTTAAACGCAAAAAACTATGAATTGTATTTGAAAGTCACCGGGAATTATGCAATATCTACTGGTCAATATAGATAATATACGCCAGTAAATATCGATAATATTCACCTGTAAATATCGATAATATTCGCCAGTTTCATACACAAGTGCGTTATCACCAAAAATATTACGCTAATACAATACGTTGGAGAATGAGTTCGATATCATATACCGAATACAGGAAGGCCTATACATATTATATATTTCAATACCCTGCAGAAGTTGTGACAAATGGAGTTATGGCTTTGTCTTCTACTCGAGGAAACATTAAAATTGATTTAAAAGTTTTGGCCATAGACCGTAGCGGACAAACGGCATCATTTCATAGCTCTCCCAGTATTTTGTTTATCTAAAGTTTGAGTCTCATCAGAACTACAGATAAACAGCGTCGGGGTTCGAAGATCTGAAAGACAATTTTTATTGCAACTTATCATCTGCTTATAATTCCAGTGAAGGTCGTTTGCGCTTTAGTCAAGGTCATCATTCTATGAATATGTAACTATTTATAGTAACATGGGGACGTGATCTACATTGCTCCTGACAAACAAACAATTCACTTGCACATTCGGTTCACCCCAGAAGTCATCAAAAGGGTGCCGAAATGTAATTGTTTAGGAGAAGTTCAGCAGGACTAAAATAACATTCTGAAATAGAATTCTGAGCAATAGTGTTTTACAAACTTTAAATCCTGACTAAGCCACGATCTGATGGGAACTATTTTGCATTTCCCTTTGATTTCATTGAAAGTCGTAGACAATCAGCTATGTACTTGATAATTCTGACAAAATTTGGATTTTTTTTATGGAATATTTTCAAAAGATCGTTTTTTGGTAAGAATTAGCCTTCGTACAATGCGCTGCAGCACCGTTATTAAAATGAGGGCAATGTTATTAGCGCTCACCGTAGTGTAGTGGTAATCATTTTATTAGAGCCGTATTTTCAGGTCAGAGGTTTACCAAAAGGCTTACAACTTAAAATTAAAACTTTTTTTAATTACCAACAGAGAACGTTTAACATGATGATGATTGTGTTAGTTGTGTTCATCTTTTCACAAGTTTTGCACTTGGGTTTATTACAAGGTACACATTTTCTACACACTTTTAATTTTTTATTGCTGCCTGTTTTTTCTTTTTGGAATCACCCCATTTCATGTGGGCGTATAAATATTATATAGAACTTCGTCTAAGCTTAGAACTCACCTAAAGTGAAGACCTTCAGCATAAATATCATTTTTCACACCACTAATTCTACTAAATATAATTGCTCTATGACCACCATCAACTGTCAAAAACAACAATAAAACTGGTGAATGGTGTTATAAAGTAACAAGATGTTGGTTGACTTTAGTGAAAATATGTTGTTCTATGTGTTTAAAGTGAAATTTTGGACAATTTCAACCCACAGCAATTTCAAAATTTGACCATAATTCTTGTCTTGTAGTACATAGTGTAGCCAGTTCAGCTACAGACACGTGGTATCCAGTTAAAACGGTAACATGTCAAAACGGTAACAGATCTACCAAAACGGCAACACAAATTTAGTTAAAACGGTAACAGAACTGCCAAAACAGTAACAAGATATTTTGGTTAAAACGGTAACAAAATAAAATTCATTCATAATAACTCATTCTCAACTTGACTACTAATTCTCACATTCAATCCAAGTTATGAAAACATTTTTAATTAAAGCATTTATGGATTAGAGTACCAACAAATCAAGCTCACCACTTTCTCGTCATAATTGGTACTCACGATTGTTGATTAAAGAAATCTATCTACCTACCTACGTAAAATAATGTCGGTTTAACGAGAGCTTTTTATTGGAATTGTCGGCAAACTTTTTTTTGAAATTCTTCTTTGCGTTTTCAAATGCTGCTTTTTGTTATTCGACGTAAACCAAATTTCATAGCTAAATATTTCTGTGAAGAGAGCGACACTTTTTCATAATCTCTGATAATTTGCTGTTTCATATCCAGAGATACATCAGTACGGACACGCTTCGAAGGACGAAAATTGGTAGCTTGAGAATTCTGAAAAAACGCGTAACAAATTAACAATTAATCAGCAATGTTTTGTTTCCACGTGATTTGATTCCAGATTATCAATAAAATAAGCTATTATCTAATTGACGATAAATGATTAAAGGGATACTACGTCTTAGAATACACTCGTCCTGTGGCTAATATTTGTGTTTAATAGTGACCATTGGTTAAATAAGTATGCATCCCACACTTTATCAAGTTTGAAAAATCAACAATAAACTATAATCAAAATTTTTAAAAAAGTGAGCAAGCGACAAGTCCGTTCAGTTTGAGAAAGAAAGAGTCTGGGTATATCACTTAATGGATGTATTAAGCGTTTA